TGTAGAAATTAACAAATAGTGCTTGTCAATTGTTCTCATTGAGTTCTACAGGTTAACTAATTAGCCTGAATTTGGGCCCGCTTAGCCCATGAAAAGGAAATTGAGAGGAGGTCACTGGGGGAAATGATCAGAATCAGCCTAAGTTGTATGAAATCCTGAGCAAGACACCATTTTGAAGCCCATCCCAGTCAGTCTGCAGGGCTTTAAAAAGTGTTTTCAGCACTGTAATATTTATGTTTATAGTTCTTAATAGCATCCTTCAAAGCACAACCATGATCTAGTAATGTATGCCTACCACATCCTATCAAAGAAGATACTGAGCAAGAATAATAGTTGAAAACTAATTGTCAGAAGCCATATTTGTAGTTATTCCCCAAACAATATGTGACACGTTGAGGAAAAGGCCAATATGTTTCTGTTTTTTTTGGGGGGGGGGGTCCTTCGTTTGTTTACTGATTCCAAGCCAGTGACCCTTTCAGCTCAACTCCCACACATGTGAGCGTCCAGCTCCATTCTTAAAGCCAGACCTGGAAATCATTCTTGACCATCGTCATTATCTAAATTAAGCAACTATCAGTTCCTAAGTAAGGAGACTGGGAAAAGCCACACAGAGGGAGTGCGGCAGAACCAACATGCTCAAAGATGATTTCCCATGGTGGGAGAGTTCACCTTCTTCCCATTCAATGCCCCTGACGGTAGGGAAGGCATCTGGTATGTGGTTCCAGCCAATGCTTCTGGGCTGACATTGCCAGGTGCCATCAGCAGGGCTTTGCCCTTGATCCTTCACCTTTCTAAGTGTGGTGGGCATCTTAGGGGGAGAAGTGGCCATCCTAGGAAAAAAACCCAGACTGAAATAGCTAGATAACACTCCTGTCATTGGCAGGAAGGAAGAAAGATTTGAATAACAGCAGCAGGAAGGTATTGCCAAAATGAAAATGCAATTGGTATCCTGGAGACTATTTAATTAAGAACTAAGAAAATGTTTTTTTTCTTTTTTCTTTTCTTCACATGGTCTTAGGAGGGCTTGAGAGATAGTGCTATTATTCCCTTTTCAATGCTAGGTAATTAGTATTCCCAATCCCCAGATTCCCATCTCCAGCAGAGATGGTACCAAAGGCTCCTTAGACTCCTTTGCAGAACCCAGAGCTGGCTCTGCATCAGGATCAATAGAACAGAAGGGTGACTCTTTTAAACTATTTTAGAAATGATACCTAACCTAATGGGTTTAGTAACCCAATCTGAGCCATTTTAAAAAACATATCTGAAAAAGAAATGACATTTACAGGGCACATTCTTCTCGCCCATTCAGTTTAAATGTCTCCTCTGAGAAAGCAGCAGGCAAAGAAACTGCTCTGCAATCTTTCATTTAAATCTGTACCAGAGAGAGTTATCTCCACAGAGAAAAAATTCAAATGCCTATAGCATCTGTGGAATCCCAAGGTTGGTTTTGCTTTTTGGTTTTGTTGGAACGTATAATAAAAACAGAAGCTAGCAAGAATTTGGAAAGGATTGATGAGATCAAGCCTGCCTGCAAAACAAAAAACAAAACAAAAAAAAATACAAGTCCTGTCAACTTCTGCAGGCAGCAATTTGAGAAATGTGGCCACAAGTTAAAATCAACTACAAGTATGTCAGTCAGTTAAGAGGATATGTGGATAGGGATTATGGTGTGGGCTTCCCCATGTTCAAGACACTTTCATACCACTCTCCATGGTAATGGAGTGAATTAGCAGTGGCATAGTGAGACAAGAATTCCCATAAATGAGGAAAGGGGGCTCCAATGAGTCTCAGAGTGTCCCAGTGTTGCGAAGAAAAGACTAGCTTCATTACAGCAGGAAATATAGTGCAGCTGAGGTAGAAACAAATTAACTCGGCTTTATAACATAGCTATTATTATGTGATCACAGAGTCCCAAACTACTTTCAAATGGATACAAGGTTGCATAGCAGCATACTTGGTGAAATCATAGTTGAACTGAGAAGGAAACAGATTAGATGGGCCTGTCCCAGTTTCAGGCTGGGTTATAGTACTGAGAAGGCATTGATTGCACTTGTAGATGACCTCTGGTGGGCCCAGGATTGGGCTAGTGTATCTGTACTGGCCCACTGACTTTCAATACTATTGATTATGGTATTGATTGATGGACCAGCTGAGGGGTTGGGAATAGGGGAGCATGATTCTTCAATGGTTCTCCTCCTTCTTCCAAGGTAGAAGATTTCAGTCAGTGTTAATAGTGGGGGCTACTACTTTGTGGAATTCCACCGGGCTTGTGGGATGCCTAGGAAGTGCGCCTTCTCTGTCATGGTGCCTGCCTTACTGTGCAGAACAACTTCTACCCTGAGATTTGACGACCCTAACCCTGGTGGCTTTCCAGAATGCCTTGAATACCTGACTCCCCAAGCATTGGGGCTGGGATGTTAATGAACCCCAGCACGTGCACATTTATTTTATGGTTAGGGAGTTTGTACGTGGGCCTTGACTTGATTCTTTCAACTTATTTTGTTGCTTTGCTTTGATCTTCACCACCCAGAGTTCCATTAGATAGGCAGGTATATAAATTTGTTTAATAAATAAAATTCTGTAACCCAGATTACCAAAAAACTCTTTCAAAAACAACTTATATGTGAGAAATAAAAAGCAAAAGTGCACATATTGATCAATTTTTTTAAAAAAAAACCTAAAAATTCACACTACAAAAACTATAAAATAATTTTCTAAGAACTAACTAAAATATCACACTTTTGGAATTCACCATATTTTGTTTCATCAGGTTAGATCTTTGCTGCTACTCTTTCCCTAACTAGGAAACCAAGTATTTCATTTAAGAGTGGAGATAGATCTAAGTAACAGAAATACTTTATACAGTACTTGTAAAAATGGGAGGCATTCCCATTCCATGTTTGCCCTAGGATCTTAGATTTAACTTGATAATGCAGTGTTTTCATTCAATCTGAAATTCGGATTTTGAAATTAGATCTAAACACTACAACACGTAGCCTAATTCTTATTCATTCTTTTTTTCTCTCTTTCTCTCATTTCCTATTTTTTCTGCCTTTTAGCCTGATGGAGATTCAGGAAAACCTGAAAGCTTATACTACTTTATTGCTTTTTGTGTGATAAAAGGATTGCCCAAAATGGTATCTTTTAATGAGATTTGTATCTCTCAAACCAGCATATTCAATTTGGTTCCTGCCCAGAGTTGAAGAGCAACAGGATGGGGAACGTTTCTCTAATTTACATATGCTAATTCATATTCTTCTTTCCAATGAAACTGACAATTCATTTGACATTTTGAACAGTACGGATGTTCATGCAGCTTGGGGGTACCTGTTCTTCAATAACTTATTTGTTATCACAGAAACACAAGGAAGGAATTTAAATTATTAGGTTACAGATGAACAGTGGACTGAGGCTATTCGGCATTTAAAACAAGCAAATGAAAACACTGCCTTTGAACCAATGTCAGGACTAAATTCTGCAAACTCTTCCAATATACTAATGAAGACAACTCTAGGGAGCTATGGTACCAAATGATATTTTTTAGATGCTCTGAAATATGCTGAATGCTACTGCCCCATCCTTAAAATGTTAAGTGTACAATAATGTATACAGCACTATTAAGGAATCTAATACTTAATAAATATGCACACTCCCCAAAAAAGAATATACCTGCTTGCAATAAAAAATCTGATTGTAAAGGGAAAAAAGGTGGGAAATTTAGGTAGCAAATTCTTAGATAAAATAATGGGAATGATATGGCAAACAGGACTAGACACAAGGGTTGATTTCCAAAATTAAGAGATGATGAAAAGAAGGCCAACAATAGAAGGACCGATACTGGATAAAAATATTTTCTATCACTCTGTAAAAATATGAGCTAATTACTGCCTCCCCATGGATAAAACAGCAAGAATAAATTATTTCCTACCCTCTGTTAATTAGGAGCACTATTTCCCCAATATATAAGAATTCTTATACAACACAAATCAAGACCTCCACTCAAATTGCAAGATTATTTGTTGTCATGTGCAAAAAGGGCAGTGCAGGGCAGTGCCAAATTTGGCAACCCAACATTCTCAAGGAATAGCTTGAGTGGACGAAAGAGATGGTTGGAGAGTAGTTGAAGTAACAGAATGTCCCTGTTTTGCCACTACTTCTCCAACTAGGGATGATTTTGTAGGGCATATGTTTAAGTAGCAAATTGATAGGAGGGAGGAGGCATTGCAGTTGAGGTAGGTGAGAAAGTATATTTAATTTGCGAGATTAAAAGAGAGAGAAAAATCACAAATTTATTGTACAGTGTTTCCAAATGGTTAACCCAGTACACTGGATGAGACTCAGTCTGTGTGGGAGCAAAGGCAGGAAAGTTTTGAGTGTCCGCAGGGACCAAGGTCTCGCTCCCAGAACAGGAGCCAGGGGTTGCTCTCTCCCTGCTTTGTCCCAGATGAACTGACTCACCAAGAAGAGGGCTTTCCTCCCCTCCCCTTCCATTCCAAACAAAACACACAGGCAGCCAGATTTTGTTGGAGTGCTTTATTTTATAAACGCGTCAAAATAATTTTTTTTTTAAGAGCAGACACATGTATCTTGTATATATTTGCAGTACAAAGAAAAGCAATTAAGCAATGAGAGGGTGTGGACAAGGGCTTCAGGGCTTCTCCTGTTACTAAGGAGAAGTTTCAAGTTGGCACAGGAATCTTCCTTCTCCTTGATCACTCTTCAAAAGAAAGGGAGAGAGAAAAAGAAGAGCAGTGGAGGGCGAAGGCCAGCTCCTGATTGCAACTGACATCTAGTGTGGACAGCACACCAGAAAGACCACAAAACAGGGAAAAGAGAAGAGCTACTCTGCCGGAGTTGCTCTATGGAAATAAACAAACTACAGAAAGAAAGAGAACACAGAGAGAAGCGGATACGAAACAACAGTTACGCTCAGAGAGCAACTGTTGCCTTGTTTAATTCTGCACCATCACTTTCATGGAATAAAGGACAGAATTATTTACCTTCAGCTTCAATTGAACAAAGGAGGACAGCTGCACATATGGCTGCGACAGCTGCTGCACGGAGCCTTATCTTCATTGCTGCTGTTTTGGATCACAACCACATGAATAATTCTAAAAATAGGAAAAGAAAAAAAATAGAGACTCAATACCATGGGTTTTTTAAAGCAGATGGAATGGAGAGGAAGTCATATGGCAAGGAGGGAAGGAAAGTTCGAGATCAGCTTTCTCCAATTTGTGCACTCCAGACTAGTAGAATCTCCTTCATTCCCACCTACTGTACTGGAGGATACCAGGCTAGAAAAGACTGTTTTAGATCCCTTTGTTTACCATAGTCAACTTCCCTTTTAAGTAGAAACCATTTTTCCCCGCCAACACATTTTGCACCAAGTCAGTATTTTTTGACTAGGAGCTATCCCACCCTCTCCAAACTCCAAAACTCATCACTGCTTGCTACTCTGGATCTAGGAATAAAAGGAAAAAAATATAGGTATACAAGTAGTTCTTGCTTATCAACCACTCGTTCAGTGACTGTTTGAAGTTACAACAGCACTGAAAAAGGAGATTTACAACCAGTCCTCAAAGTTGCGGCCATCATAGCATCCCTGCAGTCATGTGATTGCGATTTGGGTGCTTATCAATCAGTGCACATTTACAATGGTCACAGCATCCCACAGTCATGTGATCACCATTTACAACCTTCACAGCCAGCTTCCAACAAGCAGAATCAGTGGGGAAGCCAGTAGGAAGTCGCAAATCGCAATCACATGATGTTGCACTTAATGACCACAGGTGATATGCTTAATGACTGCATCTGGAACTGACATTGTAAGTTGGTTCAGTCACGTGACATTTCACTTTACTACTGTGTCGCTTAGCGACAGAGCTCCCAGTCCCAATTGTGGTCAGTAAATGGACTTCCAGTGAAGAAATGGTGAACTAAAGATGGCTCCATTAAAAGTGGAGCCAATGACTATGGTGGAATGAAGAGTCAGCAAGTAGACTGGCTCTACGTAATTTCTCTCTGGACAAGGAGAGGACTTGAGATTGCCCACAAGTGCTCCAGACAATTGCTCCTCACGAGGAGACCACACGACAGCAGTCTCCGGGTTTAGACCTCTGGGAGATGATGGAATAGACATCTTGCTCAAACCATGGTTGGCACCTTTGAAAGGACATTAAGTTCACATACTTTCTTTTCTAATCATTTTTGGAAATTGCTTGTTAACTGCTTTTAAGCTAATAGGAGCCTTGGGTGGACAAGTCTGAAAACACTGGGTGAGTTTTCTTTAATCCTTAGTGAAAGAAGTTTAAATACAGGTTTAAGGACTTTAAAAAAAACATTTTTTTGGAATTAACAGCAAAAGGGTAATTAGAATTTTGATTTTGGGAACTTACAAATGGACTAAGGGTCCAGATGGATTTGAAATAAGATTTCGGAATTAATTATAAGAATCCTTCCCATGGGAAAATGCTTTTGTTTAAATTCTCTTTAAAAAAATGATAGGATGAGACTTTGAAGGTTGGACACTAGAGGGAACGAGAAAGAACTAAAGATTACAATTAAAGGAGAAGAACACTTAAATTTGACTTACTAATGCAGAATGGAGCAAGATATTTTAACATTGGACATACTTCTTTAAAAAAATGATAGGATGAGACTTTGAAGGTTGGACACTAGAGGGAACGAGAAAGAACTAAAGATTACAATTAAAGGAGAAGAACACTTAAATTTGACTTACTAATGCAGAATGGAGCAAGATATTTTAACATTGGACATACTGAAGGATATTTTTGAATAACGGACCCAAAAATTAATTTTAAGAGAGTCTGCCTCTATAACTAGACAGTATTTAAAAGATGTTATAAAAGAGGAACAAGTTTTACTGGACAAGACTGAGACTGATCTGAAAGTGGGCTTAAAAATGACAGGCTACAAGAATGAGATGGAAACAGATGCTACACTGGACATACAAAAGAAACAGGTTGATGTCTTAATAATTAAAAGGAATATGCAAATAACAACCAAGAGAGTGACCTGTATAATTTTCCTATTTTGGATTTACAAAAGAGGATTGTTAAAGCTCTGAAGAATTTTGTGAGACGTGATCAAAAAAAAATGAAAAGAAATCATGTTCTAGGACATTATTTGAAGGGACTAAAGATCA